ATCAATTTTCGATTTCTCAAATATTTTGTTTGTAAATTTAATACTTATTATTACTTATTATTACATCATATCAAATAATCATATGACATACCTTTGTCCTGTCCATTGCCTGTAAACCTTGTGTTAATGTATGAGTGGCTATTCTTTGTACAGTAGCTCTCTGAGCTTTTACAGCCTGTTGGTCATCCGCAATTACATCTAGGCCGTTAAGATCAGTATCTGCCATTAATTGCTCTACGCATATAAATTTCACATGTAACATTGATATAATAATATGGCAAAGAAGAAGTAATAAAAAAGTAATAGAAAATTACCAAGTTCATGCAGACTGTTGGCAGCTTTAACAATATCTGGACCTTGAGTGATGCTATTCATTTGAGAATTTAAACGCTTTGATAAATGTTGCATTCTGGCAACCCTTCTCAGAAGATCAGAAGTCTCGTGAAGCCGTGCTAGTACAATCGTTTGCATCTCAATTCTATTAAATGGATCAACTATTTTCCCACGTAATCGCTCGACCGCTGATAAAAGACTCTAAAAGAACAATTTTTATACTTTTTGTGTCACTTTAAATTCATATATCAGTCTTATTTTCTTGTACAATATTCACCTGAATATGAGACTGCATTATAAAAAGCACTCCTTCCAACTTTTCGACCCATGTTGCCTGAGATAATAAATCCTCGTGATTGGCGAGTACTTGTTTCTGCAACTCGGCATTTAACACATCGATAGCTAAAGAGAGAAAGAAAGAGGGAACGATTTACTATTTTAATATTTTAATAGCGTAAAATAATTTGAATTTTACCTTGTCCTAGCTTGTTTAATTGTTGAGCCACTGATAACAGCGGACTAATGTCAGATTTCTTAGAGTCGGCAGTCAATAGTTGTTTAAAGAATTCTGTGAAATTAATATATATTTCATTAGCTATGTATATATATACGCAGCATAAATTTTTATTTAAGAGATACATATTTTTTTTCACTTACGATCATTTTCTATGTCTTCCCAGCTTGATATATCACCCATTTTTAGGTTATACAGAATATATTGAAAAAATATATAAAAATAAGATGCGTAATCTCTCGCTTATGGTGTGTTCAAAAATTCTACTCGTAGGTAAAGTAATGTTTAATTGACCAATCAGGAAGCAAAGATTCTTTATCTTGATTGGTCAATTAAATAGTACTCTACCCCACGAGTAGGATTTTCGAACGTATCTCTAAAAACATGGTGCACCATGGTGTAAAAATGATATGTGCATAACAGTATATAATTATGTACGAAACGCTTTTCGTACGATCATTTGTACATCGACGTATGTAATTACTCGATTCCGTTAGTTTAGAATTTTTCTCGAATCGTTCGTCGTTTTTCCTTCACGAAAATGATACACAGTCTCTTTATTATAAATTCCTCGGGGTAAGCATTATAAAAAAAAACAAAACATATTTGACAGATCATAGATTAACATTTTCTCTCCATGTATGATAATAATTGTCAATTATCTTTGTTATCAGTACACTTTTTCGACATTGATTATGTGTTAATTATTAATATTCTTAATTATTGCTTTATGTGTTCCATATGGGTGTATAGAGATGTCTTTATGGAGAAACATTGGAAAAGTGCAGTCGCGCGTTCACTCTGCGACTATTTCTTTGATCAACAGCGAAGGGTCCTGTCACCAGAGGATACTCCACCAGTGATAGCTACTCCACATCACTACCTCATTAGTATATACCGTTGTAACATGTTCTTTGTGGCGGTATGTATGACAGAAGGTAAACTTGATTTGGTAAGGTGAGGTTCTCTTTATAATATAAGATGATATGTAACACTAATATTTTTCTTTTCTTTCTAGTTCCCCCATTGTTTGTCATTGAATTCTTGCACAGAGTAGTGGATACTTTTGAAGATTATTTCAGCGAATGTACAGAAACAATCATAAAGGAGAATTATGTGGTTGTATATGAATTGCTGGACGAGATGTTGGATAATGGTTTTCCATTGGCAACAGAATCCAACATATTGAAGGAATTGATCAAACCACCTAATATTTTGCGCACTATAGCAAACACAGTTACAGGCAAATCCAAGTAAGCATGCTGTGTTTGAACATTAATGCTTTAGACAAATACACATAAAGGATTATTTTTTATATCCTGTAATTGTAGTGTTAGCGCAATCCTACCCAGTGGACAACTATCTAATGTTCCTTGGAGACGAACTGGAGTGAAATACACAAACAATGAAGCTTACTTTGATGTCGTTGAGGAAGTGGATGCAATTATTGATCGAACTGGAGCGACTGTATTTGCAGAAATTCAAGGCTATGTAAGTTTTGTAGTAGATATCTTTCAAATAGATACATTAATTATATTAAATTAATTTCTTAGATTGACTGTTGCATAAAATTAAGCGGTATGCCGGATCTCACACTTTCATTCATGAATCCGAGATTATTCGACGACGTTAGCTTTCATCCTTGCGTTCGATTTAAAAGATGGGAGGTATACATAAACATATGATATCATACACGAGTTTTACTTACCAATATAGATTTTTTTTAAGCTTATATGTTCTTGTTCTAGTCGGAAAGGATACTTTCTTTTATTCCGCCTGATGGTAATTTTCGCCTTCTTTCATATCACATAGGATCACAAAGTATTGTAGCAATTCCAATATACATAAGACATAATATAAGCCTAAAAGAACCAGGAGGTGGCAGATTGGATATAACTGTTGGACCAAAACAGACTATTGGCAGAACAGTGAGTTATATTTCTAAATAGATGTAAAATTATTTATTATTATCTCAAAATCACACACTATATATTGTATCACATCATTATTATTATCATTATTATATTATAGGTTGAAAACGTTATTCTTGAAATTCCTATGCCAAAGATAGTCTTAAATTGCACTTTAAGTCCAAACCAAGGAAAATATTCATTTGATCCTGTTAGTAAAGTATTGTTATGGGATATTGGGAGAATTGATGTTTCTAAATTGCCAAATCTTAGAGGATCGGTAGGATAATTGTAAAACCTCTAGAAAAATTCAAGTGTATTTAATAATTATGTTATAATATATTGCGCAATTTTATATTTCAGATCACAATACAAAATTCGGCAACTGTTACCGAATCTAATCCTGCCATTAATGTATGTATAATGTCATGTAATATATATATCAAAGATTCCTTTTTTGCGAAATTTTAATAATTTAATATTTCGATTTCAGGTGCATTTTACGATTAATCAATTAGCGGTATCTGGATTAAAAGTAAATCGATTAGATATGTATGGCGAGAAGTACAAGCCCTTTAAAGGTGTCAAATATATCACTAAAGCTGGTAAATTTCAAATAAGGATGTAAATACAATGAATGATAAGATAAAACAAAAATTATTTCTTGTACATTATATTAAATACGTAATATATATGTTTTATTATCTAATAAATGGATTAATAAACATACAATACACACACATACATACACATATATACATACATGACATGAAAAATATATTTACTGATAATTACTATGTAAAAAATGATAAAAGCATCAATATAGAAAATGATATTAAGTAAAACTTTATTGTATATCCCCATTTTAATTGACTCAGATATGTCTAGACTATATTTTATATTTACAAAATAAGATTAGGTGTAATAACAAATAATTTTTGAACAATTTTATCTTAATAAAATTGAAGATTATATAATACAAACAGAGAAAATATTTATAGAAGATACATTTAAATCATTTGTACATACATCTGTCCTTCATGTTGAAGATTGACATAATAATTTCCTTGCTTCCAAATCCTCCCATGTTGGATGAGTAGCATATGTATACAATCGCTCCATATTGGTAGCATATATAGTGTGATTACTAACGAGATTTTTATAAATCTGTTCAGAAAAATAAAACTATATGGTTAAAGTATATAACCTTAGCAGAGGATTAAATGTCTTTATTTGTACCTTTAATGCATACTGTAAGTCGGCTGTGCTCACTGGTTTTAATGGTGGGCGAGTAATTTGTGTGGAACAAGCATATGAAAATGCAGTGGCTTGTTCAGCTTCTTCAAAGTTGGGTTTTGATGCAGGAATTTGTCCATAAGGTTCCATCACCTCTGTCGGCCTGCGTTTTAAAATGTCGAATAATACAAAGTATTAATTATGTATAGCATATATTAAAAAATCAGCAACTGTAGTGACTTACTCTGAACAGAATGGATTTATGTACATGGAGTTTTTTTTCCATGAACTGGGCACTGGTTCTCCTATATTATAGATAAAGGAACCGTCACAAACAGCGTATCCTTTTCTTCGTGTGAAAACAGCAGTGAGTATATTTTTCAAGAAAATTTGTGTCGCGGCTATAATAATATGCGCGGTATTCTCTTCAGCTCCGTCCATATTATTTTCCCAGGCCGCGAGCATCAATCGAGCGAGCACAAAAGTCCGATCCGGTAATACGAGTTCTTGGGCGCTGGAACGATTGGCACCTATAGGTTCATCACCGACAGGCGACGAAGTTTGACCCAATACTTCCACGTACATATCAGCTGGCTGTCGCAAAAAAATTATGTAAATATTTATATATGATTCTAGAGCATTATTATTGTATATATATATTATGCATATAGTTACAAACCTCAAAGTTTGATTTATCAGTCTTATATTTGCGTTTTAATCTCAGTCTTCTTTCCTTAGAGATTTTATCTCTATCAATCTTATAGGTTGGCGTAACAGTGGCTAATCCACGAACTTTATTAAAGAGACACAATAAGAACTCATTATGTAAACGGACTTGGTCTTCTGTCATAAGATTACGTGCTTCGCAATCAAATTCTTCCTTTGTGGTCTAAAACAAAATATTCATAAATAGTACACAAGATTATTACATAAGACTTAATAAAGAAATTTACCTTCATTTGGAACCACAGCTTCATCTTCTCAAAATACCTATCGATAAAAAAAATAATTATAAAGATATAAATTTAATTGTAGGTTAAGCTATTCCTTCATCATATAATTTTTATATTATACATATTTGTACATCTTGTTCTTAAAACTAATAAAAAAACTTACGCTTTTGCATTTTCGCCAAGCGAAGTCACGAGACTCTTCCTGGCTAAGTTTAATTCTTTCGATGTAGTCATTTTTGCAATTTCTTTCTGCTTTGTGTACAAGATTATTTTGAAGTCGGTTTAGGTTAGATACCTTGAATAACTAATCGTTATTGGCTGGGTTCAAAAAAGCACAATACATACAAGATTACATTCAACATCTACTCATTGGAATAAATATTTATTTATGCAATTTGCATAAATATCAGCATTCAATTTAAAACAACATTTATAATTGCTTTATTACATTTTAATTGTTTGGGAGTAAAAGTTCAGTTTAGACATATTGAAAGGTATTTTATGAAACCTAATGTAAAAAATTATACCAATGCAAAAAAATTTATTTTTACTATTAGTATATAAATAATGTTTTTACTAAAATTAAACTATTTTACTACCATTCTCATTATGACATGTAAAAATGTAATAGAGAGCATTGTTACTCTTAAACTTTACATATAAAATTATAAAATATAAATAGAAAACTTAAACAGATTTTTGTATACAGAAAAAGTGAGAGAACTACACAAGAAGAGAAAGTTTCTTATATCTATATATACACGATTTCGAAGAGATTCAATTTCCTATACAATCACGATACTTTCAATTGTTTTAGAACTTAATTGACTTCTTACTGTTTCTGGTAAAATTACTTTAGAGTTCAACACATGAAATATTTTATCTCTAATTACAATGATTTGTCGGATATATACAATTTACTAATAAAATCTACCATCTTCTTCCAAGCCAATCTTCGTAATCCCTTTTCCTATTTTTACGACCTTTCTTCCTACGTCATCTAACTTCTTTAGATGGAATTCTTGATTGAACAAGATCCCAAGTTATCAGCGCCGTATTCGATTTTGTGCACAAATCCATAACAACTTGTGCATTTCTTGCATTGTGTGTCACTCCTAGACAGGTTCCTGCTGCCATGTTGTAGATAGGTGTACCATTCTGTATAATAAAAATAAAGTGCTTAAAATTTTCAGTAATCGTCAATTATAAAAACATCTATTATTATTTGAATACATCAATGGTCTTACAATGCGTTTGTGGCGCCAATCTTGATTTCCACCCATTTCATGACACTTTCCAAGTTTTGGAATCTTCTCAGCTCCTTCCATGCAAAGCATTTGACCAAGAACTAGTTCGTTTTTATCGGTCTCAAACCACATCTATATTTTAATATAAATTATTTGTAAAGTGATCAAATTTTTTTTTTCGATAGTAAATCTGGCATGAATATTTACCTGCGATTTAATTCTTAAACATGGCATCAAGATAAATTTCGAGCCTTTAGTTTTGATTTCCTTTTCACTCTGAATACAGAGCACAGAATTTGAAAGTCTGATTTGATACTGATCAGTATAATTCCTTTTCCTCGAATGCCAAGGTTGCATCGGTCTTTGCTCGAGTTTGGACCATTTATCCTTTAGTCGCTTTTCTGTATCATCGGGCAACGTTAACTCTGGATAAACCTCCTTTAGGTACCAGTCAAAAGTCTTGCACTGTAATTTCTGGCGCAATGCTAGCCGTTCCGAGATATCGCCGTAATTAATCGCTTTGGTACTTTTCAGGAAATAATCTTTATACTCGTCCATCCACACGTGCGCAACTCGTAACGAGTTTTTCAACATGGTGTCGTGCGGATCATCCGAACCGTACGGCCGTCGTCTTCTGAATACATGACCTACCCGTGAACAGGGAATCAACTCGATAGTACCACCACACATCCATATCTAGAAAGAAAAACAACTAATAAATAATTTTGTTATATACATTGCGAGCCAAATTCAAAAATATCAGAATAAATATAATTAATTTTTACTCGGAATGATATTTCAAGATTTTCTCCACCCCAAACGTCCATACCAGTGTCGTATTCTCCTTTCTTTGTAAAATATTCTCTGTCAATAGCGAACAATCCGCCGGCCATAGTCGGTGATCTGTTTTTTAACGAGAAATATTTATTTATGAAAGAATTGGATTATGCAAGTATTTATAACGAAAGTATTTATAATTAAATATATTTGCAATATATGTATATCAATATATGTAGATATATAAAAAAATTATCTTACTTGATAGGCTTTACAAAATCGTCGTCATGTTTTAAGGTGCCAATTGGTAAATTATCCCACTTAAAGTGAAGACCCCAGTTAAATCCACCTCTCACCAATGGGCTGCCAGTATATTGGAATGTATCTGCATTAATAATATCGATTACCGGCATTGGTACGATAGTTTTCGAATAAGCGATTCTTGACAGAAGCGGCTCTATCCATATTTCATTTACTTCTATGTGACTGTCCAAAAAGATTAGAACATCGCCTGTAGCTTTTCTCGCTCCAAAAACTCGTGCTCTGATTAATCCTTCTCTTTTTTCGGTCTTAAATAATCGTACTCTAGCATCAAAATTGTTCTTAATATATGCATGTATCTTTTCATGCAATAAATCGCTGTCACTATAATCATTCACCAAAATAATTTCGTGAAGGAGAGCCGTTGGCGTTCTTTCGAATATAGAATGTAAAGATCGCAACAGCGTTGTATAATGCTCGTTGTAGAAACAAATAATTATACTGGCATTTGGCAGATTAGAGGAATATCTTTGCGTTTTGCACAGTTTGTGCCTCGTGTCTGGTATATTTCTTCGTACTCCAAGATTATCCGAAATCAGAACATTGAAGGCATAATTCTTGTATCCGGCATCTCTTTTTCGTTGATCCTCTACATTTTTTACCATGCCCAATTCATCTAAACCTATTAAAATGTTTGTCTGATTACATTTTCGAATTTGATGCTCTGATACTGATCTAGTCTAATATCAGAGATTAATACCTTGATCCAAAGTGACTGCAGGTTTTACTGGAACAGGTCGTAAATGATGCAAGAGCAGATTGTTGTTCCTATAATCTTTATTATCCTTCAGATTGTAGGATTTCTTATCAGATAGAATCTGCTTTTCGTTGTGAGCAATGAGAATGTTGTCGCGTAACATGATTTCTTTGTCGATTTCCTTTTCTCTGTGAATAGAAATGCCAGGCACTAACATTGTAGGATTGGCAGCGATGCTGTTCTGCGACAGTCTTGAATAGAGGTATAGACTGAAAGCCCATGTTAAAGAAGCTATCACTATTCCCGACAGGAATGACACATATCTCGTCGATATCATCTGTAAAAAAAGGATGGATAGTCAGTGAGATTGCTCAACTATGTAATAACTTTGTAATAATGAAACATCAGGCAATTTTTTTCGAACCTCTGATACAATATGCACGAGAATAAATCCTGATTTCTTATAAGCATTCACACTATAAATTATAATTCGATTACAATGCACATAATATAAAATATTTAAATAATTTTTTCAGTACGCATATTTGCGATCAAGTAGCGATCTTTAATTGACAGCCGGGTGCAAGTAGGCTGTCATTTTTAGCGGTCACGTGGTGAAGGGAGGGGCGATTAATCAATATGGCTTCTTTTCCGCTAAATTTGAATGCAATCTCGTTTTCCGCTAAACCGCTAGACATTTTTATACTTTCTTTCGAGTAATTTTTTGCATTGTGTTATGCGTTCGTATAATATTAATCTTCGACGTCAATTTTATTATTAAAGTTGTCCAGATATTTAATAGAGGAGAGAGTAGACCATTTAAATTTAGAAATTTAAATTTAGCGATATATGGAGACGCCATATTGATTCAATTGTCTGCTAGAGACCACAGATGATATGAGAAAAGAAGCATTTGAGAGAGACACTTGATTCAATGCTCTTGTCAATAACAGTGAGCGATTGTCCATCCTACGTACAACTGTATACAGTTTATTTATTCTGGTTAATTTCTTGTGTGCTGTGACAAGTGAAAAGAAATATACGCAATTATACCAGGAACGTTCATCGTTTATATCGGCAATTTAGTAAAATATTGACATAGCAGGACAGTGTCAGTGCATTGACATTTTATTCGTTGGTAAGTCGTGCAATTTTATATGACTAATATATTCGTCATAACATTGGTATGTGGCATTTTCCGTATTACTTGTTGCATTATGAGTAGAAAGACATTCTATTATTACTAATTTATAACACGATATTCTATACATTTAATGTATATACCTAGTAAGTGCATTGATATATATATATATACACACACATATATATATATATCACATAGAGATATATACAGAAGAAAAGAGCTATTTTGTGCATGAATGACGTGTAACGCTTTTAACAAATACAAAGTATAAATAGAGGCATCTATTTTAAACAAACATCATTTAATACAATATATATTTATTAATATTATATATATTTAAATAAAGTAATAAAAGAAATAGATATCCTATGCACGTTTCACTGTCAATGCTCTTTTTCTTTTCGCTGAAAAAAAATGCTGACTATATTTTTATTCTTAGATGTCTATCAGACTATTATTTCCATGATTCATTGTAATATGATGCAATGCGGCAAAGTCAATTTGATCTATAAGTGATCTAAAAGTTTTCCTCTGTTATTTCAAATCTATTAATAACAAGTCTCACCAATGATCAAGAGTTTTTTTAATTAGATATTATAATATCTTGAAAAAGATTTAAAAAAAACTTTAAAAGATGCAAGAGCAATGCAGCAAAATTTCTATCATATCTTTTTTAAAAGTTTTTTATAAGATAAGTCAATATCTTGTTATGTTTTCTACAAGATATTAGGTTGTGGCAAAAGAAACTATGATTTCTATATTGAATATGATAAAAAATCAAATTGATAATTAAACTGAATTAAACTGAGTCTTTTGCACTCTCACATTTTATATAGAAAATTAAAATGTTACGTACATATATGCATGAATAATTGTGTTCTACTGTATGTATGTCTCTAAACTGATTGCTTCTTTTCTTTGTTTGATATATTATGTAACACATGTTTCCTGTTTTCAAAATTAAAGTGAACTAATTGATGCTTATTTCTAATGATTAGATTAGATTAGATTAAAAGCAGCAAATAACTGTAAAAGGATATTGAAGTGAAATGAATTTGATATTGTATACTTGAATTTATCAATTAGATTTATATTCTATTTTTGATTGATTTTTAAATAAATATTATTGATTTAAAAATGTTTATTAAAATCTCTTTAAAATATATTTCGTTCTTATTGTATGATTCTATCCTTTTTAATAAAGATAAATTAAAAAATATTTAAATTAAAATAAATATAAAAATTTTGATAATATAGAAAACTGATAATATTGATTTGGATATCAACATTGATAATATAGATATCTGAATATTTTCTGATTACAGAAGAGTATTTATAAGAAAAAGAGATTCAAAATGTCTCTTTATCCTACGCTAGAAGACATGAAAGTAGATCACATGATGAAGGTAAGTCAAAGTTCTATGATCTATATGCTGCAAAATCAAGAATATTACAGCTTAATATCTTTGAAATTATATTTGAGATAATTATATCTTATTTTTTATATACTGGACCAATTAAAATTATGTTATAGGCTCAAATGGAAGCGGAGTCACAATATGCCATTCCAATGCCGACCGAACCCGCAGTTCCCTCGGCTCCGGTTTACGTTCCTTCCGCACCCAGTGTGTTATATCCATCCTTGGGGGATTACATGGGACTCGAGCTAAACGAAGACACCATTGCACAGAATATGCCTGAATATGCGCTCGCTAAACGTCAAACTGCAAATGATGTAGGATAATGTTATATCGATTATAATATAATTTCCTAATTATGCCTTAGTTCTAATTATGAACTTTAAACTTTAAAAAAAGAAGATTATATCATTTTTAAATTACCTAATTAATTAGCTTTATTCTGAAAAAAGTTAATTTCCACGTAAAAAATGTTAAGAAAAATGAATGTTATGATTTCAGATGACACTTACTTCATCAAATGTAACATACAATTCATTAACAGGGTTTGTCGCTCCTTTGTCGGGAGAATCAATGGCTTTACAGAAAGCTCATGTAACAAACGGCATTAGAGAGGTAATATTCGGTTGCTAAACTTATAAAAATCTATAATTATATATATAACACACTACATAACATTCTAAATATTTTATCTCTTTACAGTTGATATTGTGCAAAGATGCTGATGGAAAAGTTGGTGTTAGAGTACATTCAATAAATAATGGAATCTTTGTATGCCTCGTGAGTCAAAATTCTCCAGCGGCAATGGGTGGATTACGTTTTGGTGATCAGATTTTAAGTATTAATGATGTATGTGTCGCTGGATACTCGATGGATCAAGTGCACAAGCTGTTCCGTACTGCAAATACCAATGGAATTAAAGTCGTCGTACGTGATAGGTCAGTTAATTTTTTTTGTATAAAAATTTCAATTCTACTAAAATTTTATTTTTTTTGTGAATATAATCTCAGTTTTATTGCAGACCTTTGGAACGTACCGTAACGATGCATAAAGATAGTACGGGTTACATTGGATTTCAATTCAAGAATGGAAAAATAATTGCTCTAGTGAAAGATTCCTCGGCCGCGCGAAACGGACTCTTAACCGATCATCAAATACTCGAGATCAATGGAAAGGTTTGCATGACGTTATGTCTATTTTCTATTTAGTCTAATGGAATAAATAATAATTATTCAATTAGATAAATTCAATATTTCACAGAACGTAATTGGGATGAAGGATAAAGACATTACGACAGAGATTGAAAATGGTGGAAATATCATCACAGTGACAGTAATTCCATCTTACATTTATGATCACATGGTGAAAAAGTATGTATTTTGTATTAAATAAACACAATGTGGTACTATGTTAGATGTAGTATAATATCACTCAAATTAATGCAGAAATTTTATGTTAGACATCAGAAATTTTCCCTTATAGAGATATTAATATTATATTTTAATATATACTTTCTCTACAGAATGTCCAGCAGTTTGCTGAAGAATTTGATGGATCATTCTGCACTGGATCTTTAAATAAGGAAATAAATTGCCAAATTCATGTACGCCATACAGCCAATCGATGGGCACGTGCATTATTCTCTGTAGTTCTTTATTACAAAGAAAATAATATGAATACCCTACAGATACATTATTATAAGCAGAAGATGCCAATCATATTATTGCAAGTGTGACGTATGTGATACCTATCTAGAATGTAGAGCCTAGAATTCCATGTCAATCTCGACATTAATTGGCTAAAAATCATGGAAAGATATGTATCAAAGATATGTATCAAAGATTATTTTTTTATACAAAAGCACACCAAATCTTGCTAAGAATATGTGGACTTCATTGTTCAATTCTATAGAAGAAAATTTTTCGTTGCATTTATCCAAACTGCATAAAAAATTACTTTGCGTTATAAGATAATTATATTCGAATTCACATTTTGTTTATATAAAAGGACAAAAATTTATTGCGGTATTTTGAACATTGTTGTTGAGTGATAAAAAGTTACAATTTTTTAATACAAAATATATAAAATTAAAAAAAAAGTTTTAATTTTATATAAAATTTTTATTAATATGTGTCTAATAAAATCTTGTAATTAATACACTTTCGCACGACAAGATCAAATTTTTTTTTATATTTGTAAGAAACTGTATTATAAAAATCATTGGTATGTTATTACAGCTACTATATAGATAGATTTTATTTTTGTTAACTTTTGAATGTATCCATGTGTTTGATATCTATTTGCAACTTTTTATCGTATTGTCACAATAAAAATAACATTTCAGAAAAATAAGAAATATAAAATATAATTAATAATATATAAATATCTTTCGCACATATTTTCTCGCATCTTTATTAGTATTTTAATCAAAGACAACTAATATTATATCATATTGATATCGATTTTTCAATGTAAATTCTCTTAATTGTTTAGAAAAATAGATTAGTATACAATATTATGTATGTTCAACTTTTCAATTATGATTTCCATTCTAGTTTAGATAAATTTAATAAAAAATTTTTTTTAATTAATGCTTAGAAATGTTTTCACTCCACATTTGAGAAATATGAAAGAAATTTAGATAAGTTATTCAACAATAAATGGATATGTATTTTAAGAACATTTGAGGAACAATTTGTGCGACTTCAGAGTGCCAATATTACTTTAAATGTAAATACAACATAACGTAGTTTATAATTATGTATTATTTGATTTTATTAAATAAAGGATTAAAAGAAAAAGAAATTAATCACATGTTTAATAAACTTGAGTTGTTACATAGAGAAGCAAGAAAGATTCAAACTTTTTCTCAGTTTCTGCGCATTGAAAGCATAGATGCGAATACATAGACTCTTTACGTATTCTGTTTTATTTTATAATATATGATATATATAGGGTATAGGCAAAGTTACGGTATAAAATAACACGAATATTTCCTATTATATCTTCTATTACAAATAGGCTGAATCTGTCGATAATGTGTATTTTTCACGAATTGTACAATTACTGTATAAAAGGGGTTCTCCTTTAATTACAATTTATCAAGTTCAATATTGTTAATTTTTCGAGCTATCAAATGGATCTTCAATCTGTCTCGGACATCTAGCTCATATTATGCAACAGTAATACCGGCCGTTTGGAGATAATTTCTCAAGTGGTTTGCATTCGGTTCGGGAATCTGACCCAACAATCCTGGCAAATGTCCCGGCGATAGTCTTCCGAGGCCTTGTGCCAAATGTAAACGTATATCACCAATATCTGTCAATATATATATACATTTCTGAATTTTTATCTAGAGATATACTTTAATATATATTTACAAAAAAGTTGGATATATTTATACAATATAAAAAGATAATGTTGAGAAAAAAGATATTTGTAAAACAGACTGAAAAGAAAAGAAGCTCGACGTACTTGGCAAGGGATCCTTCCGAGGATTTCTTGCACAAATGAGTTGACTATAACCCACTTGGTATCCGACCGCATCGTCGACTTCCGGGAACACGTCGTCCTCCGGCAATAAGGTTTGATCTTGCGGCAGCTCAAAGAATTCCACTAAAGCGGCCAATAGACGAGGATAGTACGAATTATATGGAGCTTCAAGCATTGCAGGACAATCGATCAGCAAATTCGACATTCCGACAGCCACCACTTTGCGCTCTATCACACCCGATATCTTCTGCAGATCGGTTATAAACACGCGTTCCACTACCATTCCAAACATTCTGAGCATAAAAGATTTACTGTAGTGTTTTATACCTCTTAAATGTGCGCGGTATACGTACATTTTTATGTATTATTTAGTATATCATTTATAAAACTTACTGTGGTTGTATTTGGTCAATAATCGCGATCAAGTTCGACGAATTGTACCTAATAATATAATATGCAAAAAAAACTATTAGACCTTTCACAAACTTCGTTGTTTTTGAAACAGAAAGTCTTTGAAAGAGAAGCACGAAGATCTGTCTCATATATGGCTCCAAAATGCTCCTGTAATATTACACTAGTGTTACAATTAATTGCATTAACAGTCAGATACAAAATGTAAATAAAAGTACATAAAAAGGTAAGAAAAGACAGAGGAAACAAGTTCTTACGGTTCAAAGTATTCAATGATGCTTTGTATTAGTAGAAATCCTTCATGATCGTTCGCTTTCGAAGCAATTAGCTTTTGGAATACCCCTAGTAATGCACTCGTCTTATCTTGCGCTACAATCTGATGCGAACCATGACTAATAAATGCTTGTAACAAACGATTTAAAGGATGAATATTGGCCTGACGTTCGAATAGTACGGGTGATAATAGACACGGGAACAAAGCCATATATGTCTCTGGTATGTTTTGACTGGTTTGTAATTCCAAAAGTAGTGCAAGAATTTGAAAGACATAGGGAATAAACTCTGAAAAGTAAATACATAAATATTTATTATTTGCAATTATATGATTTGTGATATAAAAATAGTTTACCTGGTATATCTTGTTGTAAAATTTCTTGGAAAATGGGAAATAATGCTTGTTCAAAAGATGATACTGCCTCAGGGTTCGTTTTACAAACAATCCTGGAAAAAAGAATTTTATTAGTATAAAGTACAGAAAAGTATCATAAAGTATCAAATAAAAGGAAAAACAAGCAGAATTGAAGCAACTTAAGTTTTTGTTCAACATATAAATAATATATACCATGTCGTTATATCAAAATCTGATGACTTACTTGATAGACAAACTTAAGGTTTCAAAGAGATAATGATTAAAGTTTGGTCGGCTTGGATTCCTAGACACAATTGCGAGTTTTTCGGTGAGTTTAGGAAGTAATTGGGCCAAGAAAGGCATCACAGCTTCTTGTAAAATTCCAAAACTTCTCATAATGGCCTTCATGACATATTCATTCTCTTCAGAACCCGAAATATTCATACACGCGAAAAGTCCTTTCAATAAATCTGTTGCTAATGGTGATAGATCAACACCTTTGACTCTAGAAAGTTTTCAGGAATTTTTAATCATTATTCATAGATTAGCGATTAAAATATTGCTGTTATTTCTTACATGGACAAATTATCAGCACCCCTCATCGCCAATATCTTTTCAATTGCACAAGCAGCATAACTGTGTACAACGATACTACTGGCGCTGAGATGTCTTATTAGTTGCGGCAAACTTCCTACTACCATATCACGTGGTAATATCGATCTAAACGTCATTATAAATTTTATTCCATCTGCTTTAAGTACCGGAAACTCATTCACTGAAATTTGTTATTATTGCATTGTAATTCTTTTTATTCATTATAATGAACTATATCAAATATTCTTTAATTTTTAAAAAAATTATACTGAATAATTTACTTTAGTTGTAATTAAATTTAAATCTTGAACAATGTTAAATAAAATTAGATTGAAATTTAAAAGATAGAGAAATTCAAGTTTAGTCAAATTAAATAACTCTCAGAATATTCGATATACCGTTTGGTTTTGCTAGCTCAGGTTCAATATGTTGTCCAGCAAATTGCGGTAATGAAACCAATTCGCTGCTTTGAGTAACTCCATGCTTCTGCGTCTGTGCTTTACTTGCACTACTAGTGACAAGATAAATAGCAGCGTCTTTGCTGTGCCAGTTTTCTAACGGCTTATCGGCATAGTTTTGCAACATTATCTAAAAACCGCACAAATGTAGAAAATATATATTTTAATATCTATAGCAAAATAAAAAATTAACTAATATTTCTTATATATATTTACCTGTATATATGCTCCAAAGATTTCCATAATTTTCGCTTCAAAATATTTGGACAATACTTTAACTAAATCACACGCAGCACGCCTTCTGGTATCTACATCACTGCCTTCAATATCCCGTCTAATATATTCTTCAGGATTATCCTCAAATAATTCACTGTCCGACTCTGCAATATTAAATTTAAGGATTTGTTAATATAAAAATTTATAGCATATTATAGCATATTATTATATTTTTATAGATATAATTATACCTCTAAACTCCATGTTAGGGATAATGACTTTTTCACATATACTGCTAAGAGTTGTCGGATCTTCAAATAAATGCCTATATTGTGCTCGATCAGCTACTGTGGCCAGAAATTGCAATGCATTTGAAACTAGCTGTAATATACCATTATACAGATGTACATTTTACAATTCGTGTTTTTTCTTAAAAATTTTGATAGGGTAATATTAATTCACTTACTGCATCGTACTTGGGTTGTTGCCCTGTAGATGTAAGTAAATTCCAAACTGCTGTAACAAATTCGGGTAAATATGGTTGAAACTCCTCATCGTATTTTTGGGCATATAGACCAACATTGTCGCACACTTGCGATTTTAATTGTTCTATTACACCTGCTTCTTCCTCGCCCTTTAAATAAATTTCAGATTAAAGAATTATTTTAATCTTGCACATTTAATTGTAATATGATATCAGAATATATAAATTACTGTAGTCTGCAAGGAAGGAACATCCGCATTTAACAAGGTATGGAAGTTTCTCATCCACGCTTCCATATTGTCTTCAAAAAATTCTGGTAGATCCTATGTGTGCCAATCATGCAATTCTTAGTAACAAATTCTAATTCATATTCTGAATGTAAAAATGTAACAAATACACTTACTTGAAAATTAAGAGAATAGAACACTTTACATAAGATAACTAAAGAATTATATATAACTCTTAAAGCATCTACATTATTGGCATGTACTTGCGTTAAATTCATTGTAGCCTGTAAAATACATTTCTTTAGAATCATTAATCTATGAGAGAATGCATATTTCTAATATATATAAAATAACAATAAATACTCACTAAAAACAAATCTGTTAAAGGCTTCGCAAACTTATCCAATACAAATTTTATTTCTCTCCATAGAGTCTCACTTTTAAATTCGTATCTATACCTTTTGAACAAGGAATGCGCAGTGTGCAAAACTCCATTAATTATATGGAAATCACCGGTATTGAATTTCTCTACCATCTGATCAATCAACTCCGGCCATTTATTTGGAAAATCATACTTTCCGATGATAGATACAGCATCCGATAATTGTTTCTGTATTGAATCTGGCGAATGCAACATTAGATTAATAATTAATTTCTTAATAGCGTCTCTGTCCTGCACATGTATGCGATCTACTGAATCCTCTTCCTGAAATAAATAACAAAAGATTCTACTGTAGCAAATCTCTTATTACGATCTACACTACGTGCAATCTCTAGGATAAACAAAACAAAATACCCACCACTTTCCAATTGCGTTTAACATAATTTTTAAAGGCAACAGCACCAGCGATTCTAATGGTTATGTTAATTTCAGATTTGTCTACCAAATGAAGTAGCAATAAAGGGTAGTTTTGATTGATTTCCACCGATTCTAAAAACTTCTCGGCTAAAATATAAATCGGATATATATTAATATAACGAATACGCTAAATGTTTAAAACGATAATGAATTTGGAATAGGTTATACCGACCTGGACGCCTGACATTCACGTCCGGGCTAAGGGTGTGCTTCAGATATTCGCTCAACGTTAACAGATTATCATCGGTAAGTTCCATATTGGCGATTGAAAAAAAATCGCTTTTCTCTAATTTGTAGCTGTTCACTCTCTTCAGAAGATACAGCACGACGACATCGGCAAAGAAACCAAAAATCAACTCCGCATCATCGGCAGATACAATACCGCGACAACCGGGCCAACCGGCTTTCGGTTGCTGCACATTATATCAACGTCCGCTATTGGCTGTTGGCTGACGTTCACGGCGCTGAACAGAATTGGCGCGAATATATTACAAAAAGAGATGTAAGATTCTCTGCGCACGCGATGGCGGCAATCCGATCAAATATTGTTACGAGCGCGAAACGAGAGTATCAAAAGGAACATAAATAACTTATAGCTTATTACATAAATGGAGAAATATATATTTATATTTTTAATTATATAATCAATAAGTTATATCAAGATGGATTGATTTGTGAATTTAATACTTTGAACAATTAAACACTGAAGAAAACCATTGATATATAGTACACATATTAATTATCTATTATCATAAATTACATAAATTATACATTAGTTAATTTGATTTGATATAACAATTTAATTTTTATATCCTTTTGAAATGTTTGAATTCATTTTTATTAAAAGATAAGAAGAGAATAAGAATTTTGTTTATTAAATGATAAATATTTTAAAACATATTTGTATTTTCCTTCTTCTTATATTCGTTAACTGCAATTTTGCCCTGCTTTAGCTTCCTCTGTATCTTATTTAACTTATCTTCCGTAGATCTAGTATTGTGCATTAACTTATTGTTTCTCGACCTGGATTAATAAAAATTGCGATAAGTTTTAATAATCTTATACCAATAAATCTTATATATATTTTATTTTTACTTGATTACTCGATATCAGAAATTACGGTATCAAAATTCGGTAAATCATCAACGTCCACATTAACTTCAATACAATTTAAATTGTATTTTTTTCTCATGTCATCCACTTCTTCCTTCAGAAATGCAAATTCATGGGCAACTTTTTTGCATTCTTTCTGATGATCTTCGATATCCTTCATCAAGATGTTCCTCGACTTTACAAATAAAGAGAGAAATTACGCAATTTATAATTAATTTTTTAAAATTGGTACATGAACAAAACAAATATATATTTATATAATGTACAAAGAGCTGATTTAAAGCAGCAAAATTTATAAAAGTTCTTTGTTAAGAAACATACATATTCCGTTATCCACTGGGAGAAATCATTCGCGTAGTTCCCTATTTTCGATAGGGAATCATCCCTGAAATAAAATATTCAAAATAAGAATTTTCTTTATATAGAGCTTTCATTTTTGACTAATGTATAATTTTTTTCTATTAGTAACGATTAAAAGAATATCTCTCAGATTGATATTGTGCGATCAATTATTGGAAATATAATGTGTTATCTTCGCATATTTTTATTTTTACAAAATTTTACCATTGTTTACGCAATGTATATGCTCTTGCACTTTCCAAATTCTTCAATTCTTGCTTCTTTACATCATAAATTTTCGTGGCCGCCGATATCTTTGTGTCAATGTCAAACACGTTTTGCTCTAGCTTTTCCAAGTTCGCTTCAATGTTGCGATTACTGTCGACCAAATTCGACATATGCTTCTTTAAATACTGTACCTTTCTATCGGAATTTTTGACCGATTCTTTTAATGTTACAAACTGAAACATCGTTTTTTTTTTAGCATTCATACACGTACATTTTACTCACGTTTTTGAGAAATTCGGAACGTTTCAAATGCAAATTCATAGCTTATAATACAATATGCAAATTGAGAGAGAAAATATATAATATTGTCGCGCGACTTTTCATAACATGAATGATCGTACATAGCGTTTTTTATTATCTCGAGAAGCGATCTTGCAGCATCTTGCTTCGCACTTTACCTTTGCCATTTGATTTTGTTACGAATCTAAAATTGAACAAGTTGGCTGAGTGTGCCAAGCGAAAAATAACAAAATCGCTTCGTCGGGAGTATAATTGTAAGCTATCGTTAAGTATACGATATTACTGTTCATTCATTCACATATTCACCTGTTTGATATGAGAGGTAATCATGTCTGATTGCGAGTTTTCGACATTCTCGAGATCGATCTCGTTGTTCATGGATTCCTCCATTTCTAGTTTCTGCCGATGAGTAACGTGATGCTTATACGATATCTTTTGTCGGATTGACAAAATAAATATTATCTTTATACAAGAAGGGAAATTAATTAAATCACGAAGATCGATATCGAATAGAAATCTTCTAGAAGGTTTTTTAACAGTAAAAATCGAACGTAGCTACCGCACAACAAGATGAGTTCGAATTGAATGCAACTGCGTTTATTCGAATATCCTCGATATACTCGATAGTTTTTGGGAATCGATAAAATTTCAAATTGACCAATGGCGACGCGACTTGCGAGTTGCGCAGTAGAGGCCCGCGGTTTTTAGGGAAACTCTGGGAATTTAATTTTTAATTTATAATCACACGTGTAACGTAAAATGTCACGGAAAGTTCGAATACGAAAGTAAAAATTATCTTGCACGGTAAAATTTATTAATTTTTTTGCAATAAAGATAATCGATTCCTACCCATACAGCACTGAAGCTTGCAACAACATTGCTGCAACATTGCAATATTGCGTATTGCAGTGTAATGTTGCAGAAATATTGCAAAGATATTATTTTACAATATAACTTTAGCAATGTTACAGCAACATTCCGAAAATCCTATCTAAAAAAAGGCATGTAAAGTCGATACTCGAAAGTCTCGAAGTGTATTGTTGTCGCTTTTCCGCGATGCTGATTGGTTCTGTCATTGCGCTTACTTCGTGAGCGGCTGTCATTGCATATTTTGACAGTTATTATTTTGTGTATATATCGTTAAAAATGTTTAATGAAAAAGAATAAATAGCGCGCGCGAAGCGCGCGATGTGTTGTGCTAGTAACCAAAAAGGGCAATGAGATTCATGAAAAAAGATCGAGAATCACTGAATTTCATAAAAAGAAGTAAAGGCGTAAATCTCACCTTCATATAAGCCGACATCTCTGATAGTACCCCATTGAATAGCAAGACTGGGCAAACTAGCGGCACGTCTCTGCTCCATCATTCTCTCCATAGCTGAATTCGCAAGACAGTAATTGGATTGACCCGGATTGCCACGACCACACGATAAGGACGAAAACACAACAAAGTGATCCAGTAACGGACAGGACTTTCTTGACGTCGCATCCAGATTTCTTGTCCCGTTGACTTTTGGCAAGGTTACCATTTCGAAGTCGGCTATCTGCAGATTCTCAAGCAAACCGTCGCGTAGCACAGCTGCCAGATTAAATATACCGCCTACCGGAGCCAACTGGTTGCTCTCATTGATCAAACGTTCGGCATCTGATAACGTCGTGATGTCTGCCGTAGAGATAATAATTTTGATTCCCCTGTCGCGCCAATGTTGCACGCGGAATGCCTGGTAACCGGTGCGTATGCCGGTACGGGACACGAGGATCTTTTTGCATCCGGATATCTGAATATTTCGGATACAAAGATATTGTAAATTTACACAATTGCAAATTCAGTTTTTTCTTATTTCTCTTAGATATTCCCTGTCACTGAAGGAAGTCGAATGTGCACCGAAAAATTTACATTTTATAATTTTGTTATTATAATACAGAAAATCTATATACACACTAGATCCTGACTCTTATAGGCCTAATTTCTTATTATTTTTTTCATATGTAAGGATATTATTGTCGATAAATATACATAAAGTATTATTGCATATATATTATATTGCTATGTTGCTGCAATATTATATTGCAATATTTCTGTAGGCGGACATTTTATTGTTGCAGCAATATCATAACAACACTGCAGCAATATTTTGCAATGTTTCTGCAATGTTGCAATCTTGCAGAAAAATGTTGCTGCAATGTTGTTACAATCTTGCGGTGCTGTATGGGTACAAGTTAATAACAAAGTTGTAAAACGTATTTATCATAAAGCCATCGCATACTTTTAACACCGAAATGCTGATCGTAATTATTGTACCAAATTCGTCAAACAATCGACAGCATTTTTAAAGCAGACAAACACAATGTCAATCAAGGTACCCCGGTTGCGATTTGCGTCATCCTCAAGTATTATATGCAAGACTACACATTGCATTCAATATGAATATCTGCTCTTTTTATTCAATATTATTATATCTTTTTTAAGAGTGGATATGAAAAGAAATGAACATACTTGTGAGATATCAACCGATAATGTTTACATCGAAGATATATATATACACTAGGATATGCGGTGCATAAAAATATAAATAGAATTCTGTTTCGAATTTTGTCACTAATTATAAATCGTTTAAAGCGGACTTAACGTTTATAATTATATATACATCTATTTTGCAAGCGTAACATAATATATAGTTGAAAATAACAAATTTTTCGTTACTTCCCGATATTAAATGTATTAAATTTTTAAATTGCATTAAAAAAGATGAATCAATATCTGATTTTCATACGCGCATCAATGTTTCAGGCTGCGTCTCTCTCCACGTCAGCTGATTTTTCCTATGACGGCGACTGTCACAAGCACGTTAATCGTGCGCGTTTCTGCAGTCTTTGGCAGTCCTCGAACGGCCGTTGCGACGTGCGTATGCGCGGCACGCGTCATCCATTCTTTTACTTTGGTTTCGCTATCGTCGAGTATTGTGCATGTGTGTGTGCGTGCACGAGGTACGTACTGTATCTGCGAAGTAGTGCGAGATGTTTTCAGTGTCGCCGATTAACGCACGTTTTCTTCACGTATGACGTACCTCACGGTGAGTAATATACGTTCGTCGCGATGAAATAGCGATGAAATTTATTTCGCAAAGACGTTATACCTAAAACAAATATAATTAATGTAGGAATAACTATGAGAATTCTTAAGATTATCCAAACTTTTTCAAACATTTATAAAGTCTCTTTTGAAACCTATAAAATTAAAAAATGACAATTAAAATGAAATGTATACATAATAAAGAATCACACAATTATATTATATTTCATTCCTTATTTATTAATGATATGTTTTTAAGTTAAAAAGAAATCGTAAAATATTTAGATACTAATGTGTTGGAAAGACACATTAGTATCTAAATATCTAATGTTCGAAATTCCATTTATACTTGTAATTTTTATCATTTCTTATATATCTCGGTAAACTATACCTTAGGCAATCTATTTCCTTTAAATACTGACTTAATGGCAAATATAGATAAAAAAAAGTTGATACGTTAAAATTACCGATAATACAAAGGAGCAGATTATCTCAGAATTTCAATGATTTGATATAAATAAATAATATAAGAATTTTTAAAAATATATGTCACAGATTTAGCGGAGAGGTATGATTAGGTCAGTTCTTTTCTTTTGTGTATATATAATCTGTTCTTTAATTATCTTATCTCTTTATCATGTCTTTGACGATGAGTCTCAACACTTTATCATTCGATTCAATGTGTAATCTTACGCGAATTACGTGATGATCTCACGTAAATACAAGTAACAGAAAATCGAGAAAAATATATACTAAATATATTTATTCTGCTATATTTCATCGTATCATTGCATGAAACCTCTAGTGCAAAAATATTCTCTTTTTTATTAATCATTTCCTTTTTGTATATTTGAAATCTCCTGTTCGTTCACTTGCGTGGCTTGCGTGACGTTACAATTTAGACAATTCTAAGATAATCTGTGTGAGCCAATTTCTTAAACACACATTCTAATTTAAAAGAAATATAGATATGACTGCTTAAAGAACATTTTTATATTAGATTCTTTTCGAGGAATTTTTTGTTTCATATTTTATCTTCGATATATAATGTACTTAAGATCTTCAGAATTAAATAAAAATAAATAAATCGTATTAGGTCTCTACAAATTACTGAATTGATTATATATTACAATCTTTTATAATTGCTTTTTTCTATTATGCAATTATTCACTAGGCATTCTATATTATACATATATATCAATGTCGGACAATTTCTCAAGAGAAATTCTTCTTTTTAATGCAAAAATATCCAATATATAATTTTTAATTTAGTTACTGTGTTGTTTAATTTTACAAAATATTCCATGAATCTCTTTACACATGATTTTCCTCCATAAAACCTAATAGAAAAAGATTTCTCAGAATCTTGTGTGAAACAGGACTACTAACTGATAAATAACCGCGCACTGACTACCACTCTATCCTGTCATGATGTAGGATGTAGCAATCACATTGATTACATGCTGTTTTTACACCCGTTTTTGTTTAAAGCATTTTTTTAAAAAGAGTATTTCATCTCGAATTTCGTTATTAATTAATTGTTAATATTTAAAAGATCTATTGCTAAATTAATTTTATATTTTTATCTATTTATGGATGATCTGCTTTCAATTATTGGGTCATAATTTGTAATCGTTGAATGCGTAAATGACTTTATGCGCATTCTTTTACCGAGTTTTATCTCTGTATCAATATTTTCCCCTTCATGCAAATTTGTGCTGCTTTAAGGCCGTGTAACTTGCGCACACGCATCGATGTTTACATGTGAACCGCTTCGTTAGGTTCATTACGCAGTCGATCGATCGTGCGTGTTATTTAAGTTTAACATATGTGTATAAGAAAAGATAGATAAGATCAGGGAATATTAACATCATGATTTCCTTCACATGTGCTGACTTTCATTCTTATAGTTACGCAGGATGCTCGATGATATATTAATGATTTGTAAGAGAATGAACAATTTTTTAAGATATTTAGCAGAATGATCGAAAAAATAACTATATTATGTTATTTTAATATTTTTAATTCTATCTTTTTCCTTTATTAAATAAAAATTTAAAATATATTTTAGCAGAAAAAAAGAAGCGTACCTATAGGGGAATGAGAAAGAAAAAGTGAGTTTTCTCGTTCCTCCTAGTCTCGACACGCGAATTGAAATTGTCACAAGAGTATATTGACCCCAGTGTCATTGGGGCGAGTCGTAACACAAATTAGGAAACATGACTCCAGTTTGCACGCGTGTTTTAATTAAGCAATTGCTACATCCCATAGCGTGATGAGTCAGTCGGGGTAGACACCTTCGTTTCTGCTAATATTTTATTCGGAAATTGTAATCTAAAAAATTACTTATATCTTTCTATAATTCATTATACATTATATAAAAGCTATCGCTTGATTATATGCTATAATTTCTTGAAATAAATTCAAAAACGCGCGGAGTATTGACAATTTTAAAATGACATAGGATATTACATATAGAACAAAAAAAAAGATTTAAAACCTGTTTCAGTTCAGTAACTGCTATTGATGGAATAGTGATTAATAATAAAAAAAAAGATTCATGTTACATATAATAATAATAATAATCAAATAAAATACCAGGGAATTATCTTTGATGATATAATAAGAAGTTCACATTCAATATCAAGATAAAATGAGATTAAATTTCTCTTTAAAGTTACTTCACAAGATTTACCTGCATAACGAGAACACAGGTAAATATATTTATACGAATAGTCTACTAAGTCTTATTCTTATTGCAAAGTCATATTTTAGGCGAATGTATTCGTATATGGACCGCGATAACGATTATCGCGACATATTATCAATTTATCACCGTTTCTATTCAGGCAGATCATTGTAGCCGGAGAGTCCGACCGGACGGCGCGATGATAATGACTTGTACTCGATAAGAAATGCCAGCAGCGAGTTCCGTTAACCCCGGTATACGAAGAACCCTTGCTAATGAATGTATCTTCCTCCAAGCGAATGAATTGATCGTGATACAGATAGAGAATACGTGCGTCCATTGTAGAAATTGAAGCGCGGGATTCTTTCCTCCAAATCACGTTTCTACACTAAAACCATACATTAAATGTTATATTCTTTATTCTACATTATATATCACACATCGCGTATCAAATTATACAAATAAAAATAGATTTATATATTTATATATGGATAATCTCTTTGCATAGTAAAATCATTGATACTAAAAAAGTGACAGGAATGAAACGGTCGTTTCATTTCATTGATATGCAATGCGGCATGCATAACGACAGGAATAGTTGTAATGCCATACAATGACTGAATGCGCCCGCGTTGCCTTCTTTAAAAAATATCAGTCGCACCTTCAAATAGCCGAAGAGCAGAAAATCGGAATGGAGCTTTAACGAAAAAAGTTTTTAGTTTACATGTGTTTTTTACAAGATATAAAAAAACGCAAATATAAAATTGAGATAGGAAAATATATAACTTAGTAATTTATAAACAATAAGCTTCCCTCTCTCTTTCTCCCCCTCTCTCTCTCTCTCTCTGAAACAAATCATGTTTTTACTTTGTAGAGAAAACGAAGATGGTATCTCGAAACAGGCCGATTAAAATTACGACCGTCGGCGATGGCATGGTCGGAAAAACATGCATGCTCATCACGTATACGCAGAAAGAATTCCCAACGGAATATGTACCTACCGTGTAAGTATGGTAGCATTATATAACGTCATAGTTTACAATGACAGTTTTTGTGCTAACAGAGTATTCTAGCTCTATATTTATTTTTATACACGCTTACTTCCTTCACGTTGCGTATTAAAAAGTGTAATGAATTTTTTAACATATTCGATTAATTCCGTAAATAATCGTAATCTCTTTTTCTTTGAACATCGATCGATTTATATCTCGTTTAAAATTTAAGTTATTCAATGTATTTTTTTTTTTTGCAGTTTCGATAATTACGTCGACAACATATGTGTGGGTGGACAGCAATTTGAAATGACGTTATGGGATACAGCTGGTCAAGAAGATTACGAGCGACTTAGGCCATTATCGTATCCAAACGTACGTGATGATTCGAGCGTTTTCAATCTTTTCAACCTTTTCAATTCAAGATTAGTCTTTTGACAAAAATTTGATATTCTCAAAATATTCTCTTTTCGAATTTGGTATGAATGCACGTACATTCTCGCAATCATTTTTCTCTTTTGCAGACTGACTGTTTCCTGATCTGTTTCTCCATAAGCGCTCGTAGTTCCTTTGAAAATGTAGCGAGTAAATGGCATCCGGAACTCAAAGCGCATTGTCCCAATGTGCCGATTATACTCGTGGGTAAGTACATACACATAGTTATAGAGAATAAAAATAAAAGATTTTGTATGATATTTAGTATAAATCTTTCCCCGTAGTTTTTCAAATGTTTTCTATATATATATCCAAATCTTTAATTTAAAACAAGATATATAAGAAGATAATAAATACAAATACTTATTATATTTCCTTCGCGCGCATATCATCTTATACGATGTACAAATTCGTCTATGTTGAAAGTTCATTAATAGACATATGAACACCATTATTTTCTTATTATTAGGTACCAAGGCAGATCTCAGGAATCAAGAAAATTTGGATATTGTCAGTTTTCGAGACTGCAACAAAATGAGAAAAAAAATTAGGGCAATTAGATATGTCGAATGTTCTGCTATAAAACAGGAGGGTCTCGAGGAAGTCTTTGTGGAAGCTATTAAAGCTGTACTGAAAAAACCCCGATCGAGAAAGCTCTGCTGCATCCTTTGAAATGTCAAGTACTGAAATTAATGCAATTAGTTTTGAATTAGGAGTATAGTTATTAAGATCAATGTTAAACCAAAGATTTCTTCGCATCTTTTCTTTGTGCCTTTCTTGTACATTTTATATATTCTTATCATTCCTGAAGCACATTATTTTCTTTTTCTGTATAGACAAAAGTTCTCTTTTATCGTATATAGAAAGATATATATATATATAT